TGAGATCATATAGCGGAACACTGCGGCTTTCGGCGCATTGGCCGGCCGCAAAGTGGGGTGCACCGTGGCTTGCTTTCACCATTAGCGCAATATCTGCCCCACCAGCGCTTACAATACACAGCCTTATTTTTGGGTTCGGCTCGTCCAATGTGGTTTACAAAAGCAGCAGCTTGCTGAATCAGCATCAGCGAGGCGCGGACTGCTTGATTCGCATTAACTTACTCGTAAGACGGAAATATCAGCGGGCTTTTATGCCAAGATCCGCCCATGTCTACCGCTTACGCTCCTCCCTTCCTATTCGGCTCATTTGTATTTTCTCTTCTGCAGTATATTTTTCGTTCTACCTTCCACGCTTGTTGGCCCTTACTGCCTTTGCTGGCTGCTGCATTGTTACGGCCTCCGAGCGTAATTACATTTGCTACAATTCACCTTTTGAGCGCCTGAACGCACGCTTTTCTCCGCTTTACTGAGCTCTGGTTGCTGGACAGCTGCCAGGTGTTGCTATCGTTGGTGAGCAGTCAATTTAAATGGCCGCGTTTTTCAGATTCTGGACGCGGCAGGCAGAAGCGCGGCCGTTTGCTACGGTTGCAGCCACTGAGGCGTGTCTATCGGCGTGCGGCGACCTCCTTGCGCAGACAATAGGCATGCATATAGACTTTGGCAGCAGCCCCAAGAGCAGCGAGACCACGGACGGTGGCGTGTTTGCAGACGAAGACAGACGGAGTAAAGGATACGACCTGTGGAGAACCTCGCGGTTTGTTCTGTTTGCCACTTGCGTCTCGCCCATTGGGGTCAGATGGCATCGATTCTTGGACAAGCGGTTCCCGATCCGCTCGCAGAACACATGGTTCAAGACACGGCGAAAACCTCCAGCCACACACTCTGCATCGACAGTGGCGGCCAGGGCAAAGCGGAAGTCGGAGCAGAAGCAGGCGGCGCGCCAGGTTGGCAAGCGTCTTCTGTGCGATCTGCTTCTGTATGAGCCCAGCATGTATTTTATATTCTTTGGATCCATGGCGCTCCTTGAAGGAGGTGGTCTTGAGGATGCCAGGTACCGCATTAGCACGCTCCTTCTGCCAACGTACCTCACTGGCTTGACCATATCGCCGATCATCCAGTCGGTGAACTTTGCCTTTGTCCCGCTCATATATCGCGTTCCCTTTGGCAGCTGCTTTGATTTGTTCTGGGACTCGTATCTCAGCTGGGTAAACAACGAAAAGCTCGCCATGATCGGCGAGGCAGACCAAAGCCGTGGTTCTGATGCTGACTCGGGCGTTCAGCGAAGCGAGATGATCCCTCTTGACCAGCTCCGCAAGTAGCACTAAGCGCATTTCCAGCACAGCTGCCTAAAATTCCTTTGCTGTGCTTTAGACACACGAATGTTACGTTGCTACACGTCTTTTGCTCAAACACTTGAACGACTATCTGTGTATAGCTTTGGAGTTATAAACAAAGGAGACGTGGTAGCGACAAGAGACTGCAACGACACGCCACTGTACAAAAGCGTGTGCATACTCGACACAGACAAAGAGGGGTGGGCACATTGGGGATGGACGCATCCTAGCCCTGCTCCAGCTCACTGTATCCCTCGTAGTTAACCGGGAACCGAATTCCGTCGCCAACTGTTGTATGTACGGGAATCGGCCATAGGAGCCACCTCGATCCAAACACCTGGTGAAAGTTCTTCTTCGCGCCAATATTGAACAGGTTGATGTACTTTGAGCGAGCATTCCTCCGCGCATTCTGGATCTTGTAGTTGTTCCTCTCGTAGCTCTCAATAGTTGTCAGGTTCGACAGTACCAGATAGATGTGGAACCCGGAGAAGGCAAACAGGCACAAGGAAAACACGCCCGAGAGAATGATCAGCACGAGCATGCTGACATTGACCTCGGCATCGCCCGCCATGTTCATGAATTCCCGGAGGAAGTAAACTGCCGTGGTTATAAACGTTGTCGCACAGTACAGAGAGCCGTGGACGATGAACAGGAGGAAGGCCTTTTGCGTATGGAATCCGACGCAGTTGTTGAGCCAAGGACAGTGGTGGTCCATCTTCAGAACGCACCGCCCGCAGATGCTACAGTGATGCGTGCGGTCGGGCTTTGGTGTGTTGCACTTGAGGCAGAACCGAGGCTGCCCATTGTCCTTTACCGTGATTGAGTAGACAAGCTCTGCTCGCTGGATTTGCTCTTGAGTGAGTGGCGCGTTGTCGTCGCTACACACGCTGTCTGCATCATTGTTGTTATTCGACCCGTCATCGCTGCTGCTGCTGCTGCCATCGCTGCCACCGCCATATTCGCTGGAATAAAAACTCTGCTCGTCAGCATAACGCCGCTGCACCCGCGTTGCTGGCTGTGACGACCCTGTTGTTACTGGCATGTGCGTTGTGGCAGTTACACGGCTGGGAATTCGAGAGTACGGCCCGTGTGCCGCGCTTTCTGCTGCTCCAGAAGGGCTCCCAGGATTCTGAAACACGCAAATAAAATAGCTCCATGTAGTGAGCAGCCACAGCACAAACCATACGGAGCCGCAGAGAACAGCTACAGATATAGATCATAGAGCTGGCGAACAGAAATGCTGGGCATTAGCAATGTGAAGCCGAAGAGAAGGAAGGCTTGCAAGAAGCAAAACGAAGCGATACCTGCCTAGTGCCCTGCTCTCCTTGTGCATTAGAGGCATAACGAACCGTGTGTATGCAGCTAGCGACCAGAACAGCAGGCCAAGCGTAAAAAGCACCGGGAAGAAACCAAGCGCCTTGTAGACCTTGTGTCGGTTCCAGGCTGGCAATAATTTGAGTGCCATGCTAAGCTGCCGCTGTTCTGAGGTGGTAACAAGGAGTAGTTTGAATTTAGAACAGGCCTTTGGCGGGGGTGAAGGAGGTTGAGTGCTCAGGAGGTAAAAGCAAATAAAGGCAAATTACGTGCACAAGACGGCAGGGCAGAACGAAGAGAAGAGAAAAGAGACGTAGCCCGCATCTAATTTTAGCCCAACCTTGCCACTGGGTGATTGTTTCGCTTGGCATTGGTGCGCAATACACCAGGCGGCATCTGCTACCAATGCGTGACACTTTCAAGGCAGTGCACTACGGACAGCTTTTGTTATTTAGACAAAAAATAAAGGGATAGTGGCAATAAGGAAAGCGATTAACATGTTCGGAGGAGGGAGCAAGCTGGCACAGCCAAGGACCTCAACATGGTATCTGCCAGACCAAGATGGCAGTGCGTCTTCATCAGCACCAGATACCCCGCCCTTGCGATCACCCTGTCCATTGCTCGGATTTGGCTGTGGCGCAGCATTGGCAGCTGTCTTTGAGGCAACAATTGGGAGCCCGTCAGGTCCTATGAGCCGCACCGACTCCCTTACATGGCCAACATCGAATGCCATGGTTGCTAGACTGGAAGCAGCAACCGGTGGTTTGGCGTCTAGGCCATGTCCTACGGGGTCCATCATAAAGAAAGAGCACCTTTGTATGCATATTTCCACCGCCATGTCAGACTCGGATCTGCAATCTTGGGTGCATTTCTGTGTGCGTCGAACAACAACCTCGTTAGTCAAGTTCTGCTTTGCGCAGCTTTCTCGACACGCACTGTCCATGCATCCGCTCTGGCATACTACATGAGTATATAGATACAGCAATCAATTTCCCTGAATCAGCGATATGCCGTGCTACTCGCTACATTTCGAGAAATATGTATGTGGCTCTGAAGATACCTACATGATATGTCTTGTGCTGGAGCCACGCTACTTTGCTGTGCCTTTGTCTCTGCCACAGCTGCCTGGACTGGAATGAAAAGAACTGTCAGAATAATATGTGGAAGTGCCGTATGCATTAGCCTGTTGCGCTTCATATTTGATATATTGAATTTGGTGCAACGCTTCTAGACTAAGTAGGCATGGGAAACATTGTAGGGCCGATGGAAAGACAAAGAGCATAGACAGCCCACCACCAACCCAGAACAAGTGGCTGAATGCAACGCCAGATGTGCATGACCTGTGGAATAAAAGCAGCGGAAGAACATGGAATCGCCAGCAAGGGCAAGCGCCGCGTATGAAACGAGTATGCGTATGACATGGCGGGGCGTATCAGAGAAGGAGAGGCGCAGACTTAGCAGAAGGCGCGTAGATTTGCCATGTGAAACAAGCCGCGCTCTCATCGCATTTCAAAAGAGACATGCGAGTAAAACAGCACAGGCCAAGCTAAGCGCGGGGATGCTTGTATCCAGGTGAGTTTGGCCTGGTGAGGCCGATTTTTGCATGGGTATGTCTGGGGATTCGCCTTTTGGCATGCGCCAGTTCAGTGGGAGGTTGCCGCTAATATCCTGCTTCCTTGGCATCTTGCGTGATGCTACACCTGGCACCCCAAGGCACCGAGCACGGCAGCTCTGATCGGTTTCTTTGCATCCAGCCACGCAATCGAGCTCCTCGCTCTTAGCACCGGCTGCGGGATTGGGAAGTGCCTTCTGTGGAGTGTCGGCTGGTTCCTCGCCTGGCAGCAGATCGTCAGCTAGGTCAGGACGCATACCTAACAGCCGCCCAATGTCGTTGTCATCGTCAGCTAGTTTGGCTGAAGTAGCAGCGCTAGCTCCTACAAGCGTGGAGCATGCCAATGCTGCTGCCAGCCACCTGAATCTCATATCCAAACAATAGTCTAGATTGCTACGAGCGCTTGATGTTCCTAGTACCCTTTTTGCCTCCTGGTGTGAAGATAAGCGAAAAACAAGTGACAAAAGTAGCGATCTAGCTGGTGTACGGGTAAAGAGAGCACGCTACGCCTGGTGCTTGAAGCACATCAGAGAACAAGTACCTTGGCCGCGTTCACCGTGTGCTGGGCCATGTGGCCATGGCCTCATAGACAGCAGCAGAGTGCGGAGCTGGTGCTGGTTAGTGAAACAAAACCAGAGCAAAACGAAGCCAGCCGCATGCTGCACATGCGCTGAGCCCCACGCGCCCCCACACGCATGCACACCAAAAAGCAGCGGGAAAACGGAGCAGAAATAGCAAAAAGGCTTTACCGAGATTCGAACTCGGGTTAATGGGATCAAAACCCACGGTGATAACCACTACACTATAAAGCCAGTCGCCGGAAATCCCAATCTTCAATGTCCGCTAACCCCCAGCAAAAATGGATACATAGACTATGAAACAAATGTGAACTGCGCCGCATTACTGCTCTGTGGGGCCATTCGCCTCCTTCGATAT